ATTATTATTTGAGTTTTAATAAGCTATTTTTTTAAATTATATTTTTATTTGTTACTAGTGGGTGCCCGCGACTTCGTTAGCGTGGAAATATTTGTTTCCAAATTATGAACCCCCGTTTTATCCCTTTATTGCCATTTATTACATCATGCAATTTAATTTTTTATAATGTTTTAAAAATCCAATGAAATAAAATTAAGACCACCATAAGATATATTAATGATGCTGTGGAAGAGTGGTTCCTTCTGGTACAGGTGTTAAACACTTAATAGAAGGAACCCACCCTGGTTTTGTGTACAACAAATGTGGTATCTTAATAAACTTTTTTGATTTTGATTGACATCATAATAGTTATATGTGTGCCAAACTGCAGCTCAATCCGTTCAGTCGTTTGAGTTGTGTGTTGATAAACCAGTCAGGAACGGTTGTCTTTCATTATCATTAAAAATATTATAAGATTACATGATAAAATAAGACTACAATTACGAAACAGCCATTCCCTACGAAGCTTTGACCCAAATTCGTCACATCGCTTAATTCGCCCTTCGTCTCAGTGCCTCATTTTATGCGTGGAGAGATGAACTTCTTCACGAGTGACGTCGTTAATTGAAATATTATCCGACATCGTCGCAGGTAGGTACAGTGGCGAAATTCCGTCGGTTGGCACAAAAGCGAAGCAATTTACGGGCGAATCTAATCTCGCTAGTCGACAAGCCACCGCAACCACTGTTGAGATGACGAACGTGCGCGCCTCGTCCGAGATGTGGCTCTTCATTAAGGAGGGGGTCGGGCGGGCCATAGCTTTATAGGATAATTTGCATTTACACGAACCCCAGCACAGATTACTCCCGCACTTATCCGCCAGCCTAAATGAGCTCGCGACCGAAGCTACAAGCCTTTGTTTATGTTAGCGGAGTTTTTCGCCCACTCGCCATTCGTTTTGACGGGTCATTTCTAAAACACGAGCGCCACAAAATACTTTACTATATAACAGCCATTCTGCGAACCTCCGTTTCGTGTTGTTGTTGTTTTTTTTTCTCTTTGTTTTGGTGTTGCCGAACATTTTTATGGTTATCATTATTTCGGGTCCGCGATGAATTAATGTTAGTTTTCGCTCGTGAAATTCACTCCGTCTGTGAAAACAAATTCTGATCAAAGTGAAATGTTTAATTTGTCCAATTTATTGTCTGCGATGAAAATTAAGATTCAAATTGAATAGTGACATGGAATTCTTCTTCGATTGACTTTGGAGGTCGGGACTTCGCAATTAGCAGTTTCTTTTATAAATTCAAGTCTTTGAAATTCATAAGTCGATAAAAAGTGATCTAGGCGTTTCACCATAGTCATAAAATAATTGTATAAATTTTCGCTTTTCAGCCAACTTTGTATCAGCTAGTAAACGAATTTATTCCGTTATTGCGGTTGATTTTATATGCGGCCTCTCTACGGAAAATGGAGTGCCAATTTCCATTCCTTTGAAACATTTCTCTACTAAATAGGATCATATTTTAGAAAGCCTTTGTTCATATTATCAAAATTTTACGATACAGATTTTAGATTAACTAGTAACTAAAGCGCATATTCAAAACAGGTGCCGTGCCGGCCAGCGTAAAGCTAAACGGGCAACAAAGCGGATACCACAGGCGGCGAGGGTACAAACACACCATTCGAAAATACTAACGTGACCCAGTTTATAACCTTTGAATGGATCGGACAAAACCATGTCAGTGCTAGAACATAATATCTGTGTGGCTATCGGAGCATCAATTTAAGAGCCCGCATGGACCTATCGGAAAATCGGTAGAACAACGCGCACAGCCTAGTAACCCACCTATCATACTATCAGTGCCCGACCTAGCCGAGCCGAGCGATGCACCAATTACGATAAACGGTTCTCAGAATGACCCATAAAAGTTTATCGGTCCGAGTAGGTGCCGTTAAATTTACCTGTAAAATATTATAAACTAAATCAAAACTTATTTGATTTTGATATATGACCATAATATTATCTACTACGCCACACTCAAATGTTATCGGACTGTATTAAGTGATGTGCCAATCCGTTGATGTAACTGGAAATATCTCCAAAGTTTCCAATGTTTCCGGTAACAATTCCAATATACCCGGGCGCACAAATACATAGTTACAATTTCAACACTAAAATTTTATCGTAGAGCCCGCTATCAAATTGAATTATATTCCTGATACAGATCGAATCAAACCCAAAGTTGGTAACTCGCAATTGGCAATAATTAGAGCCATAGCATTGATAGTTCCTAAAGCCCTTTATAAGCACATGGCGTACACGAATTATAAATTTCACCGCTCCATAAATATTCATTGCCTACGATGTGCCTATTTGCCGGTCTGTCACCCGCACTTTGGAGGATACACTTAATCATGGAAACTGCTAAGTAATAGAGGCCAAGCGAAATTTGTATGTTAATGAAACCGGGAAAGACGTTTACGCAAATGGTGACAATGATGATCTCGTGTCTTAGTGCACAGTCTGGGATCCGTAGCAAAAAGAAAGTTGCTTTTGTCTACCAAAGTCAATTTGCTTCGTAACCACCAATTTGTCAAAGCCAATTGGGACCGATTGATTTGAATTTAGTGTTACAACAATATGTGCCTCTCAACTGATTTTAAAATAATTCAACTTTTGTATTTTTTTTACAAAACAAAAAGCACAGTATTTATGCACAAATTAATTATAAAAAATACTTACCCATCACTCTAAAATTACTTAGCTAGTTTAATTACTATTACATTTAATTCAAACTTGTATTGTGTACTCTCGTTCCATTAGGGTTATTATAATATTCATTGTAGGTTATCTGTTATGCTTACCTGTTTGTGTAATTTGTTATTAAAGTCTTGTTCGGACGGCTAATTTTAATTTTGAACTGAATAAAGAAAAGTAATTTTTAACTGAAAAAACTTTTTATGTATCGCTATCTTGAAATTATCCCCTAATTCCTTCTTCTAGTACTCTTAGGGCATTTTAATTTACCTACCCAATGTAATTTCTATTCTAAATCAAGAAAATACTAAATGTTATTTTTACCTTGAATTTCCTTAGAGAAATTGCAATAATTAGATAATAAATATATATAAAAAAACGAATCGCCAAAATATATGTACGCATATAACTTTCAAAAGACTGCACCGAATTGGATAAATATTTTTTTCATTGTGTTCATTCTTGTCAGGAGAAGGTTTGCGTAACTATATAAAACAAACTCTAACAAAAATATGGCGGTACGAAAGTTCGCTGAATCAGCCATTATAATATAAAATGACATTTGCGACGAAAATTAATTAAATTCCTTATTATGACAACAATAGCACTTCAAAACAATCACTGAGCTTTAGTTTGGTTAGGTTAGGTTTTATTAAGAGTCGCGAGCAATATAATATAATGAAACATCTGAATAATAAAACATAGTATACAAATAAAGCGGTCGTGAGACAAACGCGTCGACACTAAATCGTCGGTGAGCTGTCATTCACTCGATAGAAACATAGGCACGCCGCATAGGTACAGTCAAAACCACGTCGGTTAATGACAATTCGAAATCAACAACACCTTTATTAGACAGCCATTAAAGCAGTATTCCCATCGTGACCGTATGCACTGTCAATGGTCTCGGTTGTACGAACGCTTCGATTCAATACGAACGCTTTAAATCTGTCAAAAAGGGAATGTCATTGAAAAATTATCGCTCATTTCTCTTTTTCATGCGAGCCGGCAAACGCGCCATCTACATACTGAGTTATGCAGATGACAGTATGTCTGCAAAGCTAATTTGGTAGGGCCATCGCACCAACTCATTTTTGTTCAGCTTTTGAAGTGTTTTAAATAAATTGATTCGAGTCATTATGGAATATTGGATCTTTATAATCGAAGATTCCAAAAAGGGAAATGAATGTTAAAAATGGGTTTTGGCTCCGATGGAAATTGTTCCATTTTCTCACAAATTTGGTTCACTGAAGTTGATTATTCACTCAGATATATTACTTTAGAAATATGCTTTTTAGTGTTGTGTTGTTTTCAAATATTGACCTGATTGATTTTGAGGTACTAAAATTTTGTTTGGATCTTTTTAAGTGATTTCCTTCATAATATAACAACTTATAAAAACACGTCCTGTAGGTAATGAAGGATACATCTGAAGCAATTTCTTTTTCGGATAACAAATCTCACTTGAACAAAAGTTTAGCGTGAAGAACATAGTAGGTGTTCCGTTGCTTTGCACCAGTTTTTCAATCTGGCTACAAATGTGGAACATTTACAAAGCTTACGGCTTAGAACAAATGGCCGTGCACAGGTGTTGCTTTATTGAAAAAAAAAAGATACATATTACCCCCCTTTCTTCGAGATTTGATGGTGTTTTGATGCTAAACGGAACGAGCAACGAAGTCTCCTTTAAATTGTTTTCTTTAACAGCGTTGTGCTCATTGATGTTGGAGCTATTGTGAATAAATTTGAAATAGACCTATGTTATTAAGAACAAAACTAAGCCCGCATTGTTTGAAATATAATTAAATTTGACTGTAGTTATTATCACGTTAAATATATGTTAAATGTGTATATGTTTTTTTTACAAACGGTTAATATTTTCTCTAGTATTTTAACTTTAGTCCAATTTAACTGTGTTTCAAACAAGGCCTTAGACAAGTAACTAAATTTAGCTTCTTCATTTTAATAAAATTTAAAGCTTTAGCTTCAATACACAGTTTAACAAGTATAATAATAGAATATTCGGTAACGTAAATTTCATGGACGTGACATCAAAGATAAAATTAGCTTTAAGTTATGTTCAATTTTGTGGAAAACTGGATGTCTAAAATTACAGATACAGGTTCTAACTCACCTTTACCAGCACTTTACATTGGTTAATTTGGATTAATATAATATGGCCCCATTATAACTAGATTATATCCTATATTAATAATTATACATACTTATATTAAAAAAACATATAAATATAGGTACATACCTAATTCTAGGCACGGAGCTTGATGTTATAAATGTTTTCTGATCGGAAGCATGAGCCCTATAGATAGTTGATGTTTTGCACGTGGTTATTCTGAAACAAAATATTTATTTAAAATTAAAAATATGAACAAGAAACATTCGTGTAATTCACGTTGTGAAAATATATTCGACGTAAAGTGGGTGGAGCGCGATTTTAAAATCTTCGTTGCGAAAGTACGAAACGCGTATAAAATTAGTTCAAAATTAACGTCGTAACATCTGAATTTGGGTAATTTATATGAAATTGGCTTTAGAACGCTAAGTGTCCAAATGATGAAAGGGAAACCTTGCGGTATGTGGTGCAGTGAAGGAATAAAAGGCTGCATACTAGACACTTAAATTACTTTAAACTACTACTACTGCTGTTGAGCCCTAGCCCGCTTATTATAACCTTCTATATATAACAAAACGTTATCATAACAACACAATATCCACAACATAAAAAATACTTCACAAGTGTATTGTATAATAAATGAACCACCTGCCTATAAATCCTAACTAATATTATAAATGCGATAATGAGTTTGTTTATTTGTTTGTTAGGCTTTTGCGCCTAAACCACTCAACGGATTTGGATGAAATTTGGTACGTATATACTCTGTGACCTAGATTGAGACATAGGATACTTTTTATCGCGGAAAAGTGTTAGGTTCCCGAGGGTTATTTAAAAAAACTTAAATTGTCGCGGGCGACCGCTAGTAGATAATATTAGTAAAACGTCCTAACAGGAATTTCTGATCTTAACGGAAACTCTTCAATTAATTTCCGTTGAGCATTACCTACAACACCTATTTGATCTCATACTCTCATCTCCCCATTTCAAGCTCATAAACAAATCTGGGATAATGTTCATTCAAGCACACAATTTAGATTAAAGGTCTGAAGATATGTTAAGTCTATAATAATTTAGTGAATTATCTGTAACGTAGTGTAATCCATATAGGCCATACATAAGATCATAAATAATGTTATTTATGAATAAAATTATAAAACAAACGACATAATCAAGCAAAGCCTTTTATATAGCTCATTATTATTCAATTTCATATATTATAATATTAGATATATATAAATATTTCCTCAAAACAAGTAAGAGGAGAAAGAAAATTCAAGTCACGGTCACGGAAATATTCCTTTCATGACGTTAGTTTTTTCGTATTATTTCCTTATCATAACCTTTTCTTGTAATATTAGAAGATCATAATTTTAAACTATCCTTTCTAGGTGAGAAAATTTTGAGCATGTATTTTTTTTCCAAAACCATCGTTAAAAGTTTTAAAGATATATTACGGAAAGGAACGAAAATTGTGGCGGTATGAACCTATCAGATGGGGATTGCGCTACCGAGCGACGCACGGCGACGGCGGGAAGTCAAACGGGGAGCCCGCATCGTTCCGATTTCAACGATAAAACTCCGCCGGAACCCGGAACGGTGAGTATGGTATGGCGCCTAGGTACGTTCCGAATTCCGAAACAAAGCGCGCAGAAAAGTCCGCTCGGCTCGCAGATGGCGCAGGTGTCCCGACTACTCGCACGTTCTCTAATCAAGCGGAAATGTGCGCTCGGCCGGTCGCGCTCTGGCCACCCAAACGGTTGACCCGCCCGCTCCATCTGAACTCCGTCCGGAATTTGAATCGACATCGCATTCGGTCAACGCCGACGTTCGAAATTTGGATTTTGTTGAGAACGCTATCTTTTTATTTTTATCTCGCTCCTATTCTAGATTCGGATCAAATATAGAAATTTCCAACGACACATATAATATTCCTAAGAATTTTATTAATCTGTTGGGTAGTTTTAGAGACTTGCAGGCGACCAAATCGCAATGGGTGTAGTTAAAGGAATTGGATTGACATAGCAACTTTCATATAGCAGCTGCACCTATGTTGCTCTGTCACCTGGCAAAGAAATACGACGAAGAATTTAAACTAAGTAATTAATTCTCTTCTATTTATCGTACTCCACATGCAACCTTTTTAAAAGTTGAAGCATCAACCGATAACGTTACACAAGAAAAAGTGAATAGGCACTCTTACAATCAATTTAACCGGCCGAGGCTACATCACAATCTCGAATTAATGTTGGGGATCAAACAAAGGAACGTCAGCTTATCAGAGAGAAAGCGACCGGAGCGCTCCCGAGCCCGACTCGGGGCGCAAAACACGTGATGTCCGGATAGACGCGCAAACTTTCTTTTGTTTCCATTATGTTTAAACGCGCCTCGTTACCACAAAGATCTCCTTAAACCTTTTGACGTTTCGCTAAAAGGTTCATTTCGGTTGATTAATGTCGTAATTCCTCCGGTTGGTCGTACAAAAAAAGACACTTGAAGCATTTATACGGTGACGGCTCGTGAGCGGGAGAAAAATGGGGTGGAATTTATCTGCGCCGCCCGTGTATCGCGACCGGGTATCTATTTTAATATAAACTCTATAGCTGCAGGAATTTTAAAACGCGTCCGGGTAACGATACGAAAAATGAAAAAGTTTAAAACTTCCCCGCCCCGTATCAGTCTCGGATGTCTGGACATCGTTAATGTCACCATATTTGATTCTTAAAACAACTATCATTAACGAATGCTGAAACTTTTATGTAATTTGTTTAATCACATTAGTACCTATGTTATACTAAGTGACAAATACAAACAATCCCAATTTCAACCCTTCTTAGTCGATCAACTATCAATGTATCGCGTCGAATAGGTTCGGACCACCCCACGTCACGCTATTAATTGCATCAGTATACTGTCGAATACAGCTGTCCGTTAGATCGGCAGATAAGAGCAGCTTGTTTGGGGGTCGTTCACGTCTTTATTACTCCATAACAATAGTGAAATCGAGGGTGAAACTGACGGATAGGCAATAAATTGAAATATAGCCATAAATAAAAGGGCAGTCCGATATAACATAATAAACGGTTACAGAACTGAAATTACGAGTTCGACGATTTGTTGTTATTATGTCACTTAAATTAAATAGTCCAAACGATGGGCAATTGTTTACGTGCGCACTGAATTAATACTAACAAAAAGTTCAGTACCTACCTTTAGTTCATAGATTTTGAATGTTTGAACATTAAAATAGAGATAGGTAAATTTGGAACACAAATCGATTCTATTTCCAATTTTATATTAATATTTTTTAATGCCTTGTTTATTCTAAAGCTCAGAAAGGCGTTAATTGAAATTTATCGATAAAGATATCAAACTCGGCGCTACGGTCGCTTAATATAGAAAATAGGTATCTACAACTAAATAAGTTATGATTATTTAATCCATTCGGTAACTGAGCGCCCTAGCTACTTAATATGCAAAATTTGGTACAAAAACACATTTTTGTTTTTAATAATCCTTCACTACACATCTAGACTACTACCATTCAATTTGAGATAGTTATGAATTAGCAGGTTGAAAGACACACTTAGCTACACCTTGGCATGGCAACATGTAGAGAACTTAAAACTACATTCTGAAAAAAGCACAGGTACTGATTAAATTCTTCCATGTTGCTACCGCATCAACTACTTTATCTACAGCCATTCTCCCAGCTTAAATATAGCGATCGTTCGTTCACGCCATGCCCGCAAATTACCCGTGGAAATGCACTATTAACTATGCATAATAACTGCACTACCATTGCATTATAGTAAGCACGAAAAACGTTATTGCTTTCTAAATTGTAACAAGGTCACTCTTTTATTCTATACAATCTACTGGTACTCTATTTTATTGTATTGTAAGTTTGGTTTTAATAAGAAAATAATATGTACTTAAAATAAACTTTGTTTCTTTTTCCAATAACGAGCTGTAAAGCTTAAGCAACACATGAAACATTTTACAAGTCATTTCAAAATGTAACTACCTATCCCATTGATTTTGTATGATAAATATAAAATATATGTCTTAATCCAATGATTGTAATTATTTTTTTGTGTTTATTTAATTTTTATAGCAAACTAAAGCGAATTCCTTAATTATAAGATCTGTCTAAGCAGAAACGAAACAAACTTGGAAAGGCTGTCAAACTCCTTGATTCGTTCTTTTGTAAGCATTAATTTGATCTCATATTCACAGTGAAAATTAATAGTGGTTGTCACAATAATTATCGTAGGAAAATCTCGTTCGTCTGTGGCAAACGAAACTCGCTCAAAGTCCTCGCGAAAATTCACCTCATTAGCAGAGTTTGGAATGACATTTTTTTTTATTATTAACTTGTGCAATATTTTCGCTTTCATTAACGAGCTAACGTCGCCTAACAAAGTTAAGATGCAGCGGGCAAAGGAACGCTCTAAGAATTTACACCGTCGGCTAAACGGGCGTGGGCACGTTAATTTTCTTTTGAAAACTCATAAAGTTTTCGCCGTCGTCGCTTTAAGAATCGCGACTCTGCAATCCTTTGCCGTGAGAATGTTGGCCGTATTTTCATTAGAGCGTGGTACCGCTGGCCAAATTACATAAGTGCCACTGTAAAGATGGTTTGAAACCTTTATGCTTCTGGTTTTTTTTACCATTTCACACTTCACATCACACATCTTAACACACCTCAATACGCTCTCTTCCGATTGCTATAAGTATATATATGCCATGAAGTGGGGCTAGCCGCCTCTTCTCCTTATTCTGCATTGCATCAAAACTTTTGTGTTATTTTGTAGTCTTTTGTATAAACTTAATATTGTACAGAATGTAAGTGATTAAAGTTTTTGTCTAACATTTCTGAAGTTCTATTTATGGGCTTTTTGAACAATTTTGAATTAAAAAGAGATGGGTGTTAATTACACTAAGGACAGATTTTTCGATCTCTGGATAAGAAATATTCTTCTGATATCGTTTTATATAAAATTAAAGCTAATATTTTCGATGTCACACTACACTGCACGTGTGATACGTATTATGCCTTCACACGGGTAATATTTCTTATTGATTGGATAGTAATTTATTTGGCAGATAAGTTTTACCTTAGAATTGAAAAATCCATCGCAAGCTTAGATGCTGGTATATTTTTATGTGTATTGGAAAATAGCAGTGACATGGCTTGGTATTAAAGTATTGTAAGC